AACCTTCAAAAGGTTCTGTAGAATTTTTTATCCTTTTTTTGAGACTTTGAACACATTTGGAGCGTTTTTGAAATCTACAGAACCTTTTCGAAGGGTTCTGTAAAACTCCTTTTTTTTTCAGAGTAGTGGGGACTCTGCTGCGACATTCCTGTTACGGTACTTCATCTACTCTGCCTAATTTTTGTATGTTGAAATAAGTTTCATACCGAATCAGTTTCATGCAAAGCTCAAAAAGGTTTAAAATTTGTTTCGAAATTCGGAGCCTTTTTTAAGTTCGGTACAGAACCTATTTTGCTTTCAATGAAGTGTATGTGATATTCGGGTTCTGGCATTGGCCTGTGTGTGATTATGTTATTACCTTATCTTTGAAGAGCTCATCTCGAGCAATAATCTCCATATGTTGATAGGTCAAATTCATATTGCACATATCTAGCTTTTCACTTGTTCCACTGCCAGCAATTCTTCGCTTCATGTTCGAATTCGAATATGGAGTTGGTGACGGCTGAGGTTCTAAAAGCGATTCATATCTTGTTAGAATAAAAGTCGACTATAAAAGCCGAGCAATAGACAAAGAAAGGCATATTGCTTCTGAGTCATTCCAGATAAAGCACACAACGGATTTTGGCGGCGCTGTGATTGTGTAATTGTCTCTTCTACATCGACAACCACAAAAACAGCTACACCCCTGTTCACCCCACTATCGCGTCTTTAGAGGTCCACTCACTTTTGATAGAAAAGCGTTGTACCCGATGATTGCCATAGTCAGAAACGTAGAGATTTCCATTTCGATCTATTGCTAATCCCAAAGGGTGATTCAACTGATTCTCTTTATTTCCACAGTCTTTTCCCCCAGCAATTATAGTTCCCTTCAATTTTGGTCGGAAGCGCATCACGCAACTGCGTTGGTAATCTGTGACATAAACGTTATCCGATGAGTCCACAAACAATCCACAAGGTGCATTTAATTCTGTATCACTCTTTGTCTCTTGATGACCACCAGCCACAATGACACCTTTTGTTCGATCCATCCATTTCATTACACGATGGTTTCCTTTGTCAGATACGTACAGCGACTGACTTGGACCAATAAAGACATTGACAGGTGAACTAAACTGATCGCAATTGCTACCTTCTTTGTTTCCACCTGCAATCACCGTTCCATTTGCTTCAAAGCCATGTTCTGTTCGTCGATATCTTACTACTCTATCATTAACGATGTCCGAAACATAGAGAAAACCATTCTTGTCCATCACCAATGCGGTGCCACTTATATTCTTAATTGTCATATCTGCTTTTTGTCCATCTCTTCGGGGCCATCTCACTATTCGATTGTTCTTCGAATCACATATAAGAATATGCTTTCCATCTGCGTCGGTAATAACATCGGTTGGTTGATTTAGCTGATATGAATCTTTTCCTGGACCATTTCCACCGGCAATAACCTGACCACTTCTTGCACCAGGTTTCCACTCCATTATTCTATGATTATTGCGGGCCGCAATTAGGATATTATCGTTTTCATCGACAAAAATACCGCAACAATGGTCGATTTGGTTTTGTTGGTGACCAGGACTTCCAATCCCAGCAACCGTTTTTGCAGCCTGCTCCCATTCAGCTTCCATTGGGATGTCGATTGCAGCTGCAATGAAAGACTAGAATTAAATCCTCGGCAAAACAACAATGCGTGGATAGAATCAATCAATGAAAATAGTATTCCGAACTTATTGGAACTCTAGCAAATTATTTATTTTGTATTCAATAGATATATAGTCTAGCGCGCATATTCGAAGTCGTCATACATCTTCTACAGGTTGATCACGTTAGTTTTAATAGTTTTGTGTAGTTTGCTGTGCGTAAGAAAAACATCGGGAATTTCTTATTTCAATACTGTTGGATAGAGTATCAATTACTCTATTCAACGATACGGTTTTGATATTGTTTCCTTTGATTGTGTTCCAAAAATTAATAAGTTACCAAAAGGAGTGAAAAAATAATTTTGCAAAAAAAAATATTTTGTACTTTGTTTTTACAGCATCTAATAGGTTTTATTAAAAACCAAACTACACAAGAAGATGCGTCGTGAAAAAGCTCTACAATTTACATAAGATCGCATTGCTCTTTTTTTTCAAACGGACATAATTCGAATTTCTCCGTTGAAAAAAGATCAATTTTTTTACACGAACAAGAGATTTCTTTTTACGATTTAATAGTTTTACCATCTAATATGCCTTCGTAAAAAACTTAAGTGCACCAAAAGAAGCAGCGTGGAAAGCTCTACCAACAACAGAGGAAAGCTTATTGTAATTGCGTTAAGAAAGATTTTTAAAATGCTCTCAGACCCATACTCGCACGGTCGACATTTGATCGGTCAGCCTTTTGAACATTTTGAAAACTAAAAGAGTAGAAATAAAACAAGCGGTCTTATGTAAAATTTAGAGCTTTTCACGGTGCATCTTCTAATATATCTCGTTTTTGATAAATCCTTTTAGATGATGTAAAGGCAAAGTACAAAATATGGTCATGTATTCTGTTCCACCCATTTTGCAAAAATATTTTTTTGACTCCTTTTTGTCACTTATTAATTTTTGGAACACAACCAAAGGAAACAATATCAAAACCGTATGGTTGGATAGAGTAATTGATGCTCTATCCGACTGCATCAAAATAAGAAACTCCCGATGTTTTCCTTATGCACAGCAAACTACACAAAACTATTAAAAATAACTTTATCAGCCTATATTCCCTAGACTGAAAGGATAGGGTCTAGAAACCGTAATTCACCTGTGTCTGTTTGTCTGTAACAAGTGCTTGGTACAAATGACCATTTTTATGGCGAAAATGGCCATTCCCGTGGCAAAAATGACCATTCCCGAGGCAAAAATGACCATTTCCGTGGCACAAATGACCATTTTTATGCCACAAATGACCATTTCCATGGCATAAATGACCATTTTTATGCCACAAAGTACAATTTTTATGGCACAGATGACCATTTATTTGGGGCAAATGTCCAATTCCATGGCATAAATGATCATTTCCACTGCTCAAATGGTCATTTGTAAGGCAACAAAAGCTTTTTTCACGCAAATTACGAGTCTACTGACCAAGAACTGTTTTACCGTAAGCAATGAGATCGTTTTC